TTTATTCCCTTCAGCCAGGATCCTGATGCTGTCAGCAAGGTGCAGGAGCCTGTAGACCTCTGCACTAGAGAAGTCTCCAGAAAAGCAATCCTCGCCTGCTCCACTTACACAACCACCTCCTGGACAGCTTGTCTGTGCCAGTGCTGTACTAACCCACAGAGGACGTGTGAGCACAGATCCTGAATCAGGTGGAGGCTTTGCTCCAGGTGACCTGGACTGCAGATTGCTGCCTGTACTGCCCTTACGTCCTCAGAAGTCACCCTCAGGAGTGCGGGCACAGCCCATGCAATCACAGATGCTAGCACGTTTTATAGCAGTACTAGGTATAAAGCAGGCACTGCCATTCTCTTTGCGTGTTCCTATCTTATTAGGCTCCCTACAAATTCCAGAAAGGCCCATTTAGGACCTGGGAAGAGATCCAAGGACAAGCAAATTGATGGGATCTGTCACCAAGGTCAATCTCTCAGTACGCTACACATTTTTTCTTGAGAAAACCCCTTTAGATGAAATTGAAAACTTCTGCTGATACCTGACTATAGAACCAGAGAGACTGCCCATCTCTGCAACCAGCTCTTCAGCTTCATGCTGCAGCTTACGAGCCCCCAGAAGTCTGAGCTCCTCGTCCGTCTCAGTGTCTGACTCTTGCTGCTGGGGACACTCCCAGGACAAGAGTCTGCTGTCATATGTCTCAGCAAATTCACCAGCCACAGGGTTAGATTTCTGTGCAGTTCAGTCACCTGCACAAGACATCAGAGCAAATCTAAACCAGTTATAAGTGACTGGTCTTGCCAAGTAGTCTAAAGTCAGTGCATTTCACATAAGTCAATGTCCTACCTAATTCAATTTGCAAACTGACCTAATGACATAAACATTTATTTTTACCATTTTTTCCTCCCATATTCATTCCCACTATGAACACATCTTTTCCTACTATGGATCTATCCTTCTCCCAGTTCTTGTTTAGGATCATGTGCTGCTTATCAGCCATGTGGCACTCTCCCATGTCCAGAATTCAGTGACAAACCAAAAATCACACACCACACTTATAGAACATTTAAAAAAACACATAGTGAGAGCCTCTAGTCTGCAATCCTGGGAGAAAGAATTAAAACCACAGAGAGCTAGCAGCCACAACAGCTCTCTGAACAGGAAATATCAGTGTTATTCCAGAGGAAATGCTTGCTAACATGGATGAAACAATATAGTTCATGCACTATATAGGAGACCTTACAGCTATTTTTAGAGGAGTTCTCCTCTGCTGCTTTGGCTGGAAGACAAAAGCCACAACTCAACTCAAACAGGAAAGAAAGTGTCAAAAGAGAAACAAGCATTCCTTAAAACTGTGCTCTGGCCAGATGGAAATTAAAGGAAAGACTGAATACTAGATATAGTGCTCTTACCCCTAGTAGTTTCAGGCTTGCACTTACTTTTTCATTAAGATGTGTGATGTTCTTCTGAACCTCATTATTCACAGACAGAACCCATCGCTGAATCATCTGAAAAAATTCTCTAGGTACCACCCTGAAAAAAAAACAAATCCAGAAATAAAGTGACCTCTAGTGCACCAGACCCGAGGATCTCCTGTCTCAAAGACACTTTTTGCTTCCCAACTCAAGGAAAATGACATATTTTAGTACACCATATGCTGGAAACATGACACAGGCTTTTTTGTCAATGCTAGTTGTGGGCAAACTTGGCATCTCACATATATGTTATGCACATGCTCTGCAAATGATTTATTTCTTGATGATATTTACCAAAGACAATGGAGCACCATGAAGAGGAATATGCCCCCACAAATCTGACTGTAAATGAATCACATATCTTGGATTTTCTTCAAATGTCAAGATTTCCAGAGCAGGTGGCAGTTCTGAGGGAGACAGTGATGTTCCAGGAGCAATATTGAAGCCACCATTTCCACAGATGCTGCCAAATCAAAGCAAATATAAGGCAGTCACCAATCATTTTAACACTTCAGCTGATCACATTTATCCCACTGCCAGTTTCCTGTGCCAGGGTCCCCACGAAAGAACATTTATCTTTTCTTACGAGTGTAGTTTAACATACAAGGCCAGCCGAGACACAATTAACACCTCTGTCCTTACAGAAAATGCGGTTTCTTATCACTCTCAGCTTCATGCAACTGCCTGGAGCCTATACAGCTCATCACTGCATCCACCTGGGCCAGCCACACAGGAATCTTGTGATAAAATGCCCGCAGCAGCTCAGCTTCATACATGCCAGAACCTTGCTTCAGCTTTTGCACCTTCAATAACCAATCTTCCGTACTTCTCAGAAAGGCTGCAAAAACCTAGTTGTGCCTTCAGGGGAAGAAAATACAAACCTTTGATTACAATTCTTTCAGCCAACAAGAACAAAGCGGAATTCAAAGAGGGATGCCAAGAGGGATGAACAGCCTATGTGGGAACTGGCTACACTTAGGACTAAGAATGAGCTGTTTAGTAAGCACTGAATTCAAAGCAACCTGAAAGAAAATGGGCTTGATTCGAAGCCCTGACTTTCCTTCTTGTCTTGGCAGATTTGGCTGCCTTGTTGCATAAAGGCTTAATATAACTTTTTAAAATAGTTTTGCAGTTACAACTTGATTCTTCAAAGATGCAGGTGATACAGTATGCACAGATGTGCAAAATGCCTGGACAAGGTAGTAAATTGCTTGTTCATTCACTCATCTGGCACATGCTGATGGATATTCTCTGTTTGTGGGGGAATATGCTTGAAACATAACAATGCTTGCTCTTGATATCCAATGTTTAAGCTTTCTTTAAATCCTGGTGAGGTCCTGGCCTCCATGACATCTTGCAGCAAAGATGGCATGTTAAGCACATGGAGGTGATGACAATTTTTTTTTAATATTTCAATGATTTTGATGCATGGCTTGGTTTCCCCACTGTACAGCTGTGGGGTAGAATGGGTTAACTTCTCCTCTGGATTGGGAGAAGTGCAATGAAGCAGTGTTGGGATGTCCAGACTGGTAAGAAAGGGAGGAGGTTACCCTCTGCAGGGTGGAGCCTTTCAGAGCACACTATGGGAGCCTCACAAGCAGGCATTAGTTTTTAATGACCAGAAGACCAAGAAGAAGTAGTAGGAATGATATTATTTAAGTTTTCCTGCCATGCAGCATCAGCTTAAGAGCAAAGAAGAAAAGAGGTGGGTCCCAGAAGGGCATGGGATGAGGGAGAACAGTCACTTCTGATTGCTTATTTGTGGTTTGGCCATGTTAGCCCTTACACAGTATTCTGGATCCTTATTAAATAGTGGCTTGCTTTGGGAAGGCTGTCTCTGTCATTACATTTATCTTATAATCTTAATCAAGTCCCCGGCAAAAGAGAATGCCTAACTGGAGCTCACTGGAGAGATCACTCTAGTTCCAAGTGCCAATTTCAGAGTCAAAAACATCTTATTCTCACAAGGAAGGTACACTGTGAAGGCTTTAAGAAGTGATCAAGGACAACTGAATAAAAGCAAAGACCTAAAGCCAAACCTTATAGATTTCATATAAGTCCTGTCTTGTATCTCCTGTCTAAAACAATCTCATATCTCATTGTTCTCTTTGCATCTCTAATCCTTGTCATCAAATACCAAACCCTTTGTATTTCTGGCACATGCTGCTTGAGATCAGATAATCAGATCTTAGAAGATAATAAATACTTCAAGTAACTGAGAAATAGTTCAGGTAATTGAGTAACATTGCCTTACAGGACAAAATTACCATGTTCTCAGTATTGTCTCTTACCTGTTCTTTATAATCTCTTTCATTTTCACTGTTTCTTACCAGAGATGCAATGTAAAGAGAAGGGATACCTTGTCTTTTCTACTGAAAGGCCATTACATTACAATGCAAAAAAGAATCCAAGCCGTCAGAATACACTACCTCTTATGGATCAAGATAATACCTCTCCTGTGGCCCAGTTCCCAAAGCCTGTGTTAAAATAAGCTAAAATCCCTTTTTCTGGACTGTACGGGCTGAAGCAATTTCGCACCAGATGCCTGTGCTGTACTGTCTAGCCCTTTGCTCAGATCACGACTAACTATCAAGGCTTCCTGACAATCTGCTGTTAACTTTTTGCCGTGCTGGTGTCTGGCCAATTATGGTCTTGTTCCTTCTTCTTTCTCTGACTTTCTAATGAGAACTACCGGGAATATTTAATTCCTTTAGCCGTCTCTTAGAACGGACAGATTTATCATTTTATCTCAGCTCCTTTACTAGGCTGAAATATAACATGTAGCATAAGATAATCTAGGGAAAAGCACAGGATAACCCTGAGTGAAAGAGTAAGATGACAGTATGAGAAGCAGCTTAGCAAACATGAGTAACAGTTCCTGACAGCACATCTTCAGTTTATTTTTAGTCTGCTAAAAGGAAATAAGATGATTAAAAAAACAGAGATGAAACAATTCTGAAATCAGAAATTAGTCAAGGCATGCAGAGGCAAAGGTTGAGAAGGTTAGTTGCAAATTACCCAACATACATTTGTTATCTTACACAGGACATAACTTTATATCAGCAAAGAAAATATTTATTTACATACTTTATTATCAAGATAATTTAATATCTAGATTAAGATAACTTTGTGTTGATGATAAAGTAATAAAAAAGTACTACCCTCTGAGACAGTGTTACCTGCTTAATGATCTCCAAAGTGATGTTTTACTTTGCATTTTAAACATTCATTCTTTCCTTTTACATTTATTTTCCATGCATTATCTGCATAATCACAAGCCACCCATGCTCCCTCTGAACATAACACACAACTTCCCCATGTCATATCTGCATTGCATGTTCTTTGCACTGTATCACATTTAAAATCTCAGATATTCTTTTTATGTGTGACTGCAAGTCGAGTTTCTTGGAGTTTATCCCTTGAATGCTCTTGACTCCCAGCACATATCTGGGGTTCAGACTTTAGCTTTGGAAAAAGCCAGTACAGATTATGTCAACTGGTCCTTTATCACCTGCTGCTTTCCTGGCATCCCCAAGGAAAGACTGAACTGCGAAATTGGTCATTCCTTACCATTATTCCCATTTATCCTTATATTGTATTGCCAGTAGAGTTCACATGTCCTTTGGTTTGTTTCTTCCAGGACAGTGTGCTGCGGACACAATGCTCCAGCTCCATCCAGTGCTCCTGCAGGCTGGCAGCGCTCCTCAGACTTTCCATCTTTCTTAGGTGCACCTCCACTCCGTACTGCTCTAGGTCTTCTTTTAGCATCTGAAAGAAAAGTAGCAAGCTCACCGTGCCCCCAAAAGTTGGGCCACCCCTTGGCTGCAACAGAAAGGTGACGGAAATCGGGCAAGAGAAGTGTGAGGAATCCATGAGCATAAGGATGTCACAGTGAGTAGATAGCACAGCAAGTGGGAAACTTATTGGTGACAGTTCTGAGCGCTTCTGTGGGTTAGTATCAGTTACCAGTCACCAGAGCTGCTGGTCAGACAGTGCTCAAATGCACAACTAAGTTTAATGCACTGGCTGAACTATGGTATTGGTCAACTGTAACTTCTCATATGTAGACTCTTAGCTTAAGCTTCAACACAAAAGATTTGAGCTGATGTGTTTTCGATCACATTTGTGATGGGTATAGATGCTCACTTTGGCTCAGCTAACACGTGGTAATTTGCTGAACAGATACCACTCAATAATACATCCACCCCCCAAAAAAAATCTTACATTTATCAAGTTCTTGATATCTTGTAGGATTTCATCCAGTAGCTTTTCATTCATCAGGGAGGAGCTAAAGGAGAGGGAAAGAAGGGATGAGAGCTGAGAGAAAAAACTCTTTTAGTAGCCAAGGTAAAACCAAGAGTCAAGACGTATACTCTATGCATACCAAGTTTGTGATACAAATTGTAACTTGAAAGAGAAGTAAAAAACCACAAGGCCCTACTCAACCAGAGATTTTTGTTCTCTCACTCAACGTAACACAAACACTGGGTGTCAGTTAAGAAAATGTTACTTCCAGCAAAGATGAAAATCAAATTCAAGCACATATTGAAAATTCAGACATTATTAACTCTATAAATGAAGTCTATAAAGTGATGTCTTTTGTTAATGCACAGGCTCTGCATTTCTGCATTTTATGCTTGCATTTATGCTTTGTTTTATTTAACATATCACAAGGAACTAACAAAAAGCCTGCAAAATATAAGCACCTTAACATACAAAATGACTTTGCATTTGAAACCTCATGTCTCAGAGGTGCATTTTGTATCTGTACATGAGAGAATTGAATGCTCTATTGAAGCATCAATGCGTGTGCATTCAAGTTAAAATGAACAAAACTAGAGAGAGGAATTCTGTTATAGCAATGACAGCTGCAAAAATGACACTCTGGCTCGCAGCAGGAGGGTGCAATCCTTGCTCCACCAAATTCAACCACAAGCCCACAGCGTCACTTTGGAGTTACCGTTATGGACCTGATTATCAAAATAAATGCGTCAAGCAGAAAAGTAGAGCAGTGAGGGATGTGCAAATTGCACCAAATCTCACTGCACCTGAGAGTCAGTGCACACTTTGCACTGGTCCAGTGAGACCTACTGTCACGAGGCAAAGGTTGCGGGAGTTGACTGCTACCCCCCGGCTCCTCCGGGCCACTCATGAGTCACCGCTATGGAAGTATTGAAGCCACTTATTGAGGCTGCTGCAGACAATTTGCAGTTTTCCCTGGCTGGACTCCTTGGAACGCTCTATTTCTGCTCCAATGCGATCCAACCTCTCCCTGAACTGCTTGGTCTCTTCCTGTAGCTCAACCAGATCTCCCATGTCCTGCAGGCATTGGGCAAGAGGGTGGGAAAAGGGGCTGTTGTGATTGTTTTGATCCAAATCGGAGGAATTCTCCCTTTGCCCTATCTATTTTGGGATATACACATATCAGAGATCTGGGAAATGTCTGTAATGCCACAGCACAGCCCTCACAAACCCTCTGACACAGGACTAGGGTGGCTCACCCTCCCCAGGCACGCCAGAACTGAGCACTTGATTCCTTGCTGCTTGTATGCTATTGAGATACCATGCAGCCCCATACCTATGAGGCCAAAATTACACTAGCCTGAATCTGTTTTGGTTTTATGGAGAAGGAATGGGGAGAGGGAAGAAAGCCACAAAGAAAAAGGGGAAACAGGGGAAAAAAGAAGAGTTTGAGGTAGAGAAAAGGGGACATGGAGTAAAGAGAGAAAAGCAGAGAATGAAGTCATTCAAATTTTAATGCTTGTTTGAAACTAGACCAACATTTGAAAGTTCCAGTAACAGCCAAAGTACCGAATGCCTTACTGAAAACCATAGAGCTACATAAGCCACACGTGCAAACACTTTGAACGGGTACCCATCACAGGCAGGTCCCTACCTTTGAGGCCAAGAGGACCATGAAATTCTTGAGGATGTTGGTCAGTGTCTTTCCGCTAACATGGAGCCTGCGAACCAATGTGAGCTGGTTTCTGTCTACTATCTGAAAAAACCCATTATTATTCACGCTGTTTTATTCTGAGAGGACAGGCATCTGACATTAACACAGGCACTTTACCAACAATGAAATGGAGCTCAAGCGGCCGAGTCTACTTCCCTTACAAATAAATTTCTGATCTCCCAGACAGCCCCAGAAGTTCTGCTAACAGGTTTTAAAATTGAAAGGGATAAAGTAGGAGATCACGAACAAGGGGAACACACAAACAAGAAAGCACAGAATTAACCAAGAATGATATTTTGTGAGGAACTGTGAGGATTCTGGGTACAATATTCTAAATTATGAGGAATAGGAAACTTTTTAGTCAAACCCATCTCTGAATGGAAATATTAATTTCACAGAAGTTTTTCCTGCACAGAACCTGGAAATCTGTACCAAAAATGCTGTGTGAATTAACTGGTTTCCATTTAAAAAGCACACGTGAAATACAACAGACCTCAGGAAAGGAGGTCAGGGCACGTGTGAGATGTGTTACTACCCAATCGTATGAAATCTGCCCTTACAAGACTGCTAGCTATGATAGCTTATACCTTGCAACGTATGACTGATCTCCTGCACCTACCTTCAGAGCCAGGTCATGCGCAGCTGAGCTCCAAATGTCTCTCTCTTGGGCTAGCAGCAGAACTTGCTCTTCCAGTCGTCTTCTCTGCAACTTGTATAACTCCCGGTACTCTTCCAAAAGGCTAGAAGAAGGGAAAGACAATGAAGTATGTGCACCCGTGTTTCTCATTCACATTTACTGTCTTTCTCCCAATTCCTAAAACTTTTCTTAGACATTTCCTCTTCCTCCTTCCTTCCTCAGTGACCTCCCACACAGCCCTTTTCCCCAAGCCCCTATAACACCTTTCTGTTGATATTCCCATTGCGACTTGGATTCAGTATGAATACAAATGTCTGTAAGTGAATCTGTGTGCCTAAGCACCGCAACTCTGATACCAACCATCTAAATCCCTGATTTCTTAGGTACCTGAAGGTGTCCACAGGCCCTTAGAAGTTTAGAGCTGCAGGCTCTGCTAGACTACGAAGAGCTCACCAGCTATGAATGTGGGGTGAAGAAAAGGGAATGCCAACACCTGAGCAACAAATGCAACTTTCATGACTTAAAACTAGAAACATTTTGAAAAGCTTTCTATCCCTTTGAGGGGTTTAGCATTTATAGCAAAATAATGGCATTTGTCATAAACAGCCAAGCTCTCTTCCCCAGAAGGAAATCAGCCCTCACCTCTCCTTCCCAACAACCCCAAGAGAATGAAACCAGCACGCTGCAGAAATCTCCCAAGCTCAGCTTTGGGAACAACTTACTTTGCCTTCGCCTTAGCCTCCTGCATGGCTGTAGCTAGCTCCTTTTGAGCTTTTTCTGCTTCTTTGGTCACCTTGCGGTCATACTCTCATACTTCATACAGCTCACTGAAACAGCAGGGAATAGACTTAATGCAACTTAGTCCAACCCAAAGGTCTCTACTCTGGCAGACACGGACTGGTGGGCCCTACACTATCATGCAGGACTCTTCCTCCAACACAATCATCTCACTGTTGGGGTGAAAGGCATCTTGAAGACCTCCTCTTCCCATGCACGCACACTGCTCCAACGGCCCCTTTCTGTAGTCCCCCACCAACAAACCTCCAGCATGCTAAGGAAAGGAGGTGGCTTTGACATTATTTGGCACTAACAGGGTGCAGTGAGAGTGTGAGGTGGCTCAAGTGCGATCCCTGTAGCTCTGCTTCAAATCATAACACTATCTTCCTGCCCCTATGGGAGGAAGATTAGAAAACTGAACAAAATCAATGGACTAAGCCTAGGGCAGAGAGATAATTGCTTAGGATCAGGCAGGATTCAGACCTGGCCAGCTGTCCAACAGATTCTTTAAAATAGAGTAGTTCTTCTGTAATATGTCTGTTGACCACCTGCTGTGCCATCATTTTTTTGTAGAGGGTCTTCATCTGTTCAGGAATCTGCTCCAGGAGACCCACGTACCTCTGCCTGTGGTAAAATGAGTCAAAAAGGGCATTTACCTGAGAGTGCAGATCTCTTACCCCATCTGACAACCCTTTCCTTTCACTGCATAGGAGGCTATCTAGAAGGCAATCTTTTGAGTGTTTGACTGGAGATTTTAAACACTCTGAAACAATTTAATTGCTACAAATAGTGGTAATCTGAGCATGGGAACACTGGCCATGAGGGAAGTACCAGCTATCCTATGTGTGAAAACTTCCACTGAATGTCACACCACTCTCAAGTGTGGTGACAGTGCCACCGACTTCAAGCTCCAGGTTACCTAACAGAGGCTCGTTAGCCCTGGTTGTTAACTAGGCAGGGAAATCCTATTTCACTCCTGGCATCAGACCCCACACCAATTACATCATGACGGGCTAGCTTTGCTGGGCAAGGACACTAGGAACGATCTGCAATAGCTAATGCTGCTCCCGAGAGGACACTACCATAAATCAAGAGGGGATTAAGGGTTGGCTAATGATGACCTGAGCTTCGAAAGCAGCTGTCCTCTCTCCACGCAGTCCACACTGACCTGCCGAATCAGCTCGAAAATGATGTTGTAGGTGTTCTGTTCCACCTTCATCAGCTCCAGCAAGTTGTGCAGCTGGCGAAACAGGAGAGAAAAATCACAGCCTTGCAGATCCTGGCCAGCCTACCCCTTTAACAACAGAGGTTAGCACAGATCTCTCATTTCTTCTGAAGGAGGTTTCCCTTTGAGGACAAAACACTACTAAAAGTATAAAGGAGAAGAGAAAGAGCCATCCTGCACGCACTCACAGGTTCATTTTCAAACATGTTATGCACTAACCTGACTACCCTCCCATCAACATCCATGGGAACTTCTCTGCTAATTCTAGCTGGAGTTCATGCTCAGGCAGTGCTCTACATTTTTCAAAAATCCTTCCCCATCACCGTGCAAGAATAACAGAAAATAAGGCCAAGCAAGGTACAGATGTTCTTTGACACCTGCTTTTTAGGTGTATGAAGGTTTCCAAAGGCCCATTTTGTAACACAGCAGCCTATCTCCCAATGAAGAGATGAGACAGCTACTGCCTTCGTTCCTCCATAGTAATAACGCCAAATGCATTTCTTTCTGGCATTTTTGCCGGAAGGTAACTTCCTATACCAGCAAGCTAACCATTTGTTCTTTGTGGATCCGATGAAGAGAAGCTCAGGAGAGAAAACCCCTGGTTTTTACAGGTCATACAGAGAGCTGGCTTGGGCAGAAACTAGCTGCTAGGAGGTAGTTTAAGCAGAGCAGGGATACACACTGGGGAAAACAGGATGTTATTTTTCTGGGTACCAGAAAGTTATTTGGGCACAAGCAAGTTATCCACCTGTGAAGGTCCTGTTACTCTGATTAGCTTGTCTACTCCAGCTTTTTCCAACATGCTATCCATCACCTCCATCAGCTGGATGACCTCCCAGGTTTCCCGACAGACCAGAAAGAGACAAATCATTATTCTGTATAGCATGTTACGATATTTTCCCAGGAAATGAAATTCAGTTATTTTTTTTCCAATAACAGCTTCATGCAGGATGGTACTTATATGGATGGAAACAGATGTAGTTTCTTTTCACAGTCTTCAAGCAGCATTGTATATTTACCAAAACGAACACAAATGTTAGAACTTGATTACAAAGCAATCCTTCCAGCGCTAGCTACAGGATCCCACTCTCTCCTTCAATCTCTTTGTCCCATGTACAAGCTGATGAAGGTTGGAGAGGCAGAGAAGGGTCTACCGTCTTCAGCAGTAGCAGCCAGAGACTAATGTGAGAATTGGACCTCCTGCAGCTGTTCCCCCAGCTGGAGCTCCTTCTTCTTGCCACTAATGACACAAATCTTGTAGGAACCTTTCCCCCTTTAAAACCTCTTATGGTACTTGGCTAAGAAGTGACCAATGGGTTTAAAAGTTACTGGTGGGGCCAGAAGAGCACCACATATGCACATCACACCCACCCAGAGACTGATCGCAGCAGACCATCGAAATAAGACGACAGTGTTCTGTTACATCATGTTGACAAAGAAGCTGTGAGGATTTCACTCCTGATCTTAGTATTTTAATCATTGAACAATGAGAAATAGTCTCCTTTAAATTTAGTAAGTTGTCTGGAGAGACCAAGGGGAGTCTCAGTAGCCTTTTTTGGGCAAGGCTTGGTAAATTCAATTCAAAACTCACAGCCTGAAAAATTAAAAAAAAAAAAATCACAAACAAACAAAAAACCCCAGAGTGGTCAGATTCAAGATGCTAGCAGGCCTATACAAGCATAAAGTGAGAGTAAGAACTACCTAGAGCCTGCTCAGCTTTGTGGCAGAAAGCAATTCTAAAAGAAAAACAGAAAAACTAATCAAAATTATAAAAAAAAAAAGCAGCAGCAAAAAGCTTCTGAAAGTTGCCTCAAGGGATCAAACCAGACTTCAGCTTCTACATTCATGTCCAACTACTGACCCACCCCACCCCATCCCCGAAGCAGTACTAGTCTACAGGAAGTTCTCTGTTAGTCACCCCAAAGCAGCAGGGACAAAGAAAAGGAGGATCACCTTGCTCTGCAGGGTTAACTATAGCATGGGATTTGCACAACCTCCCTTTTATACTCTCCCCTTCCCAACGGCAAGAGGTGTATTTGGGCAGCATCCTCAGCCTCTCATCACTTCATCCCCCCCGCTCTGAACAGTTGAGGACAAACCCTTGTAAACCAGAAAACACTCACTCATCAAAGCACTTCAAGGGCAAAACTCCCCTGTTCCTCACGATGTGAAATTCTTCGGGAATCAGACTATCTGCTAGGGTTGCTCGCTAGGGTTGGAAAAGAGAGAGAGCACGAAACATCAGCATAAAAGGCATGAACACATTCCCGGTTCCTTCCCGAAGAGGACACAGGTGTGGCAGCCGGGAGAGGGAAGCTCATGTAGCAGCTTTTCACGCTGCTTTTCCCTTTCTTGTTCCATGCATCCAGAGCCTGACAGAAACAATCTACGTCCGAAAGCAGATTGAAGCAATTAACACCGAACTGTGGCAGGGGAGCCAGGGGGCTGGAGCCACAGGGAGAGATGATGAGTTTTAGGATCAGGGAAACATCGGGGGACGTGTATGAGGACCTCCCTTCTCCCAGCTAGTGATACACACAGAAAAACACCTGAATGGCAGCACTCACAGGAGTATGTGGGACTGTACCATGGCTCCCACTCTGGTCTCAACAACTCTCAGTAAAAAAGCTTCTGCCAGTCATTGATTTCTTAGCTTCTTGGCCAGTCGCAGTGTCACACAGGTAAGAGACATCCCTGAAACGGAGGGGAAGAGCTTGTTCACTGACCCACCCTGCAGGCAACCCTTACTGCCAGCCTAAGCCATGCGTGGGTTTGTTCTGCTCAGCCCGAGGCCAGGCTTACAGCCAGGACCCCCTCCCCTGGGCCAAAAAAGACCAATGAGATCATGGTTTTTAGGCAGATTAACTTTGCATTGCCTATCCATTTTTCACATCTGCTGCCAACGCCTTATCGCATACGTATCCAACGTCCGATAAAGAGCAAAACATTTTTCACTTCCTAGCACTGTTAAGCATCGCTTATTTACAAGGAAGTGTAAAGCTATTCCTGCTAAGTCCATTAAAACCAGGAGAGCTTCTTTTCTTAATAGTGGATCACAGAGCATCCCTGAGAGCCTGGCATCCTTTGGAAGGACGGTTCAAAGAATTGCTCATTTAGCAACTCTTATTTATTACTCCCAAAACATCTTTCCCTCAAATCTCCCCATCCCGAACTCAGATGGGGCAGCTGGTCCATTCATCCAGCTGCATTAGGCACCACAGCCACCTACCATAAAAAAAGACCAAGGGGGAGAGATCTAGCCCTGCGTTCCCAGCTCTAATGTCTTTCCATCGCCCTGGGCTCCTTATCCCTTCTTTGCTTACTTTCCAGCGCCTGTCAAACTGACAGGGTGGTCTGTCAGGTATCTGAACTTGCTCCGACGATTAGGATAATGCCAAAGCCGATCTGGGGTTTGCAGGCAGCCCTGCAGACAAGGCACACGTGGCTGTCACTTCTTAGCGAGAAACATGCCAAGGAGTGGGAGAGGTCGGGGTGACTGTCTAAACAAGCTCCGTGTCATTATTTCTGTCTCGGGGCTGAAGAAACTGGTGTGGACAGAACAGCCTTGGCAAGGGCTTCACAGCAGCACCAGGGAGCAAGCACGTTTTGCAGGGACTGGAAAGCAGCACTTTGGATCTGCATCAAATGGCGCGGTCAGAAAAGTGATGCAATAAGGTAAATTCATCTTACGGTGTCAGCAAACTTTCCTTTTGCCCAGGGAATGAACACGTGCCCCCGATGAAGAGATGATTCTAGACAGAAAAAGGCAGGAGATAGAAACACACTCGCCCTGAAGCCCATTGGGGTTTTGGTGGTTTGTGGGGACCGCAAGTACTCCGGGCTGTGGAGAGAACTGCTGGCACAGGTCAGGCTTCGCAAAACCTCCTCCGGAACAAAACTATGCTCCTGGGAGGAAGAGGCAGGCCTGATGTGGTCAGGCACCCTTGAGGTACCCCTCAGCTTGGGGGGTCTCTAGAAAATAGCACGTCAGAACCATTTCAACAGCATTTATTCTGCTGGTGAACAAGAAAGCAAAACCGAGGACAGAATACAGGGCTGAGAAGAACAAGATGTCTTGCCCCAAAACAGGATCAACTCTAATCCCTTATCCCAAAGCAGGATCAGCTACCTAAAACACAGGCAGTTAATCCCATTTTTAGCAGTTGTTAGATCTTCGGTGAAGCCTAGAACAAGTTACCTTCTCACGATGGGAGATAAAGCACTAGTCGCACAACTGCGCCAAGCTACCAGGTACGCAAACGCCAAGGGATGCTGTGAACAACTAAAGTCTGTGTGTTTCTGTAAAGCCGTTTCCCTTCTTGTGGATTGCTAGCAGTCCGCTTTCTGCAAAGATGGCAACACCCTAAAATACCAGCAATTGCCTAAATAAAGGCAAAACTTAATGCAGAGAAGCATCCCGCTGTTAAAGGGAAGCTGGAAGGAGGGAGAGTCAGATGTACAACCCCCGCAGCCTCCAGCCCAGCCCAGTCCTCACCGACCGAGCCCGCCCCCCAGGCACCGCTCCGTTTCCTTCTGTCAGCATCACTGGCACTCCAGTTGTGGGCATGGTGAACGTTTATTTTATTTTAACGCTTAGCCAGGGAAATTTGCAGTAATGAGTGATCTAGAAACAGAATTAGACCCGCATTCGTACTTCACAGGGTTAACAGGGTTTTTTTGTTATTATTTATTGTGGAAAACCCCCTTACACCTGACATTAGGTCCAACAGTTAGGAAGAAGCCCCCGATGCTTTGCAATATCCTCCATAGGGGTACTTGTTTTTCCATCTACAAACTGCACTAAGAACAACTGCTTCTTTTATACATCTAACTGGGCCAGAGATTTAGTTATATTTGTCTCCAATTATTAATCATACCACTTTTTCTTCTTAGCATTATCTTACTGATGAAAAACAAAATCCTATTTCCATTAGTTTCGTGATCTCCACAAATTCTCATCTGAAGCCTTCCCCCCCCCACTAGCCTTGCCAATATATGTTGTTCTTCATAAATGCTCTTGGTGTTAAAACTCTTTGACCTCCGTATCAGCTGTGTCCTTGCGTACTGTGGTTTCCAATTAGGTTGACTACGTGTTTTTGCCTTCAGATACATGTTGTGGGTGTAGGTATGGTCTAGGAGCAATCTTGCCAAGTAGTTTCTTGTCTTGCTGCATAAATGGTTTCTTGGAAAGAAAATACAAAAATTTGCTAAAATGACAGAATAAAACTTTTTTTTCCCCTTTAACAGCTCTGTTTGGCAGTACACGATCTTCCCACCAGAAAGGATGGGAAGATTAACGGCAGTGTTCTGTAGCAACTACAGTTTAAGGACACAGACAAGACTTGACTTTAGAGCATGTGATGCACAGCTGGAAAATATCACATTAAGTTCTTGGCACACAAACCCTTTTTAGGCCCAAAATAAAGGCAGAAATCACCAACACGATATACATTTGGCAGTTGCTCCAATTTAATATGCATTAAATCAGGAGAGGTTAGAAACTCTGGTCTGTTCCAAGAGCTATTATCAACTCCTTCCCCGTGCTCCTCTCCAGCTCTTCCAAGGACATCCTTCCCTCTAGCAGCGGCGTGAGGGCCGATACACAGCCATAAAACACCCATGCAGTTATAAAACACCAACGATCCTTCTCAGCTGGTATTCAGCTCCGACATTTCCTGCTGCTTTTTAGGACCTGAAGAAGGGCTTGTGTAAAATTTTCCTTCTACACACCCAGCAAAGATCTCCCTACCCTCCAGCGGTCTTGCATGGTACCTCCAGGCTTGGGTCTGCCACGGCATGGCTGTCTCCATCCCTCTCCCCTCCTTGCCCTTGGTAAGGCGCAGACTTGCAGCCCCAGCCCTGGCTGTGCCAGGGACTCCCCGGGCTGCAGGCACAGGCAGCCTCAGGCCACCCCACACCCACTGGCTTGCAGCCCCCAGACCCCCAAGGTAGGCCTGCTCCCCC